CCTTTCTCTCTCTCTCTCTCACACACACACGTGAGCACACGCTTTCTCTCAGTCCCTCTTTTCTCCTCCCCCCCCCTCTCTCTCTCTCTGTGTGTCTCCATCTCTCTCTCACACACACGCGCACACACACATACACACAAACATATACACACACTTACACACACGCACTTACACACTCAGACACACGTGAGCGCGCACACACAGACGCAGACACTCACTCTCTCTCTATCTCTCTCTACCTCATACACACATACGCACACACATCCCCCCACACACACCCACACACACACACGCATACCTGGTCATTACACCAGTTCCAAATGCCGAGCGGAGTCAGTCCAAAGATTGCGCCCGTCCATGGGATGTCCCCCGTCACCGGGTCTCTCCATATGTGTTGAAAGTCTAGGAGAAGACAATAAAAGTCTTATATCCAATGGATAAGTAGTTAAGATATTTGCGATTGAAGGAGGTGGGAATCTCCTGGTTTAAGAGGTAAAATTAGCGAAAAAATGGCCGTCACAGTTTGATGACATCCCTAACTTGGATGTTCTTGAAAGTTGAAAATTTATAATATAAATTTTAGTGTCTTTTTCAACGGTTTTTTTTTTGAAAAATAAAAACCTACAAAGAAAAATGTGAGGCAGTGTGGTGGAATCAGGCTCTCGTCAAAATAATCAAAGTGAAGAAAGTTGCCTTTTTCTTCAAGTTTGTGAATTTTTATCAAATGTTTGTTTTTTGGCTCAACACCTTTCATGCCCATTAAAGAACTCATTTCAGTGTGACTTTTTCTGAAAAACGTTGATTAAAGGCACACAAAATGTAAATTTTCAGTTACCATGGACTCTTAAGCTCAGGAAATAACTAATCTTTGGCAGATATTTTCTCACTACTTTTACCTCTGAAAACAGGTGACCCCCACCTCATTCTTTCGCAAATATCGCGACTTGTATTCAAGATAAATGGACATTTTTTTCATCCAAATAAAGACAAGTGAACAAGCTTTAAGATGATACTAATAACTCTACATGCCCAAAATTTGACGAGAGCCTGATTCCACCACGCTGCATCTCATATGTCTCTTTACTTTATGTGAGACTAAACTAACTTATTTTTACGAGCAACAGCGTCAGAAACACTCCCAGGGGGCTCTCGTGGCCTAGAGGTTAAGGTGTTCGCCTGTCATTCAAAAATACCAGGTTCGAATCCGGGTAGCAAAGGAAAATTTTTCTTCTCTAAAATTGTCTCCTTTCCCCTCCTTTCCTGCCCTCTAGCAATGTTTTGTAGTCTGTTTTCATCTCCTCTTTCAATTCCGAATATGTAATAATAATCCACTTTTTGGAGCAAAATTATGCTGTTGTGCGAATTCATTAGTTGCTTTCTTTGTTTGTTTCTTTTACTTTTTTAAAAATCAATGCGAAATGGGGCGTTTGGCAATTTTCACAAATGCGTAATTCCTACATTTTAGTCCTCGGCGTGAGAAAAAAGAAATTAAGCTTATAACCTGCATTGCTGTCAACAATTTTTATACCCGGCATTGCTATGCTATCAACAATTATTTTGATAAGTTTTCACTATACAGGATTTTACATTTTCTAACGCCTCTCAAATTAACTTGTTGTGACGTAGCAAGCAAACATGTAAAATTAAAGCTTTTTTCGTAACAATTTGATGGTGGCTTTTCCGAATCGGAATTATCGCGTGTGAATTTCGTTACTTTTTTTGTATGCTTCGGTTTTGTTACTGCTTGCATGGAGACATAATACATGAGCATGTAATTGACAATTGTATCCATTTGTAACTAATCAAATTCCTGAATCTTGTTTGATTTGCACTCGACCTGAAAATATCTTGTTTGAATGAAGTTGAGCCTTGATGCACTTAAAGATAACAAAAACCACCGAAAATATAAGACCCCAAAACAAAAAAAGAATATTGGTTTTCTTTCGAACAGAGAAAGGGGAGGAGGATGGGAATGAAGTGGTGGAATCAGGCTCTCGTCAATCTTTGAGCATGTAGAGTTATTGATATTATCTTAAAGCTTGTTTACTTGTCTTTATTTGGATGAAAAACATTATCCACTTTTCTTAAATACTAGTCGAGATATTTGAGAATGAAGGAGGTGGGGGTCACCTGTTTTCAGAGGTAAAATTAGTGAGAAAATAGCCGCCAAAGATTAGTTATTTTCTTAGCTTAAGTGTCCGTGGTAGCTGAAACTTTACATTTTTTGTGCCTTAAATCAACAGTTTTCAGAAAAAATTCACACAGAAATGAGTTCTTTAAAGGGCATGAAAGATGTTGAGACCAAAAACTAAGATTTGATAAAAATTCACAAACCTACGGAAAAATGCAAGTTTTTTCACTTTGATTATTTTGACGAGAGCTTGATTTAACCACGCTGCCTCACATATTGATAATGAAAATGATCAAATAATAATAATAATAATAATAATAATAATAATAATAATAATAATAATAATAATAATAATAATAATAATAATAACAATTTAAAAAAAATGATGATTGCATTTCTATTGTGCATATCCACGTTCTATAAGATACTTTATGCGCTTAACAATTATTAAAGCTCTGTAAAAATACAAAAATAAAATCTCAAAACAATAAACAAGCAAGCAAACAAACACACACACACACACACACACACACACACACACACACACACACACACAAAACAACGAATAACAACAACAACAGCCACAACAACAACTACAGCAAGAGCAACAACAACAACAACAACAACAACAACAAATAACAACAACCCCCCTCCTAAAATAAAAAAACAAAACAAACAACAGACACGGTTCGGAAATCTGCCATGAAATGAGTATCTATTAGTT